GACTGTGTGGTACCTGGTATGATGACAGCAGTGCATATTGTGGTGGTGCCTGGTATGATTACAGCAGTGCATACTGTGTGGTAGTACCTGCTATGATTGCAGCAGTACATGCTGTGGTTGTGGTAACTGCTATGATGACAGCAGTACATGCTGTGGTGGTGGTAACTGCTATGATGACAGCAGTACATGCTGTGGTTGTGGTACCTGCTATGATGACAGCAGTACATACTGTGGTGGTGGTAACTGCTATGATGACAGCAGTACATGCTGACTGTGGTAGTACCTGCTATGATTGCAGCAGTGCATACTGCTGTGTGGTACCTGGTATGATGACAGCAGTACATACTGTGGTGGTGGTAACTGATGTGATGACAGCAGTACATGCTGTGGTTGTGGTACCTGCTATGATTGCAGCAGTACATACTGCGGTTGTGGTGCCTGCTGTGATGACAGCAGTACATACTGTGGTTGTGGTAACTGCTATGATGACAGCAGTACATACTGTGGTGGTGGTGGTAACTGGTATGATGACAGCAGTACATACTGCGGTTGTGGTACCTGGTATGATGACAGCAGTACATACTGTGGTTGTGGTGCCTGGTATGATGACAGCAGTACATACTGTGGGGTGGTAACTGGTATGATGACAGCAGTACATACTGCGGTGTGGTACCTGTATGATGACAGCAGTACATACTGTGGTTGTGGTGCTGTATGATGACAGCAGTACATACTGTGGTTGTGGTAACTGCTATGATGACAGCAGTACATACTGTGGTGGTGGTACCTGTATGATGACAGCAGTACATACTGACTGTGGTATCTGCTATGATGACAGCAGTACATGCTGTGGTTGTGGTGCTATGATGACAGCAGTACATACTGACTGTGTGGTAACTGCTATGATGACAGCAGTACATACTGTGATGGTGGTAACTGCTATGATGACAGCAGTACATACTGTGGTGGTGGTACTGCTATGATGACAGCAGTACATGCTGTGGTGGTGGTACCTGCTATGATGACAGCAGTACATGCTGTGGTGGTGGTAACTGCTATGATGACAGCAGTACATACTGTGGTTGTGGTAACTGCTATGATGACAGCAGTACATACTGTGGTTGTGGTACCTGCTATGATGACAGCAGTACATGCTGTGGTTGTGGTACTGCTATGATGACAGCAGTACATACTGTGGTGGTGGTAACTGCTATGATGACAGCAGTACATACTGTGTGGTACTGCTATGATTACAGCAGTACATACTGTGTGGTAACTGCTATGATGACAGCAGTACATGCTGTGGTGGTGGTACTGCTATGATGACAGCAGTACATGCTTGGTGTGGTACCTGTATGATGACAGCAGTACATACTGTGGTGGTGGTAACTGCTAGGATGACAGCAGATACAATACTGTGGCTTGTGGTTAACTGCTATGATGGACAGGCAGTACAATGCATGTGGTTGGTGGTAACTGCTATGGGTGACAGTCAGTTACATGCTGTGGTTGATGGTACCTGCTAGTGATGACAGCAGGTACATACTGTGTTGTTGGTACCTGCTATGATGACAGCAGTACATACGTGGTTGTGGTAACTGCTATGATGACAGCAGTACATGCTGACGCTATGTATCTTAAATTGAAAAAGGGAAAATTTGTGAACGTGTGTGTCTGTTGGAAAAGGTTAATCGATACTTGGCGACATGCAACCAACGCGAAGTAGGCCGATTCCAAAGGAATCTACGACCTCCGATTCCTTCGCAGTGATTAAAAGAATCGATTCATGGCGTGCTCAGATTTGAATTTTTAATTACTGAGTTTTATTGTCATTGGTAGTTAGATGACAGCAGTACATACCGACGTCTGTCGCCTCGACGGACCTGGTTTTCACCTGAGGACGGCTGCTTGCGTTGTGGCCGAAACGTCGTGAGAATTATTTTATTTAATTAACGTTTTATTTTATTATTTTATTACTTCCCTTCTACGGGACTTTACCCGAAGAACCAAGAAGATGGTATATTATGTTTTAAGTTTCCAGAAGTTTTAAATATATTCTTGCCCCGGGGCAAAAACGCTGGGTATATATATATCGACTCTACAGCACAAGTAGTCGCCTGACTGAGTGCCGTGTTGAGGCCTAGTCCCGTGCAGAGCCTGCGGCCTCGCCTAGATTGGCCAGCCGGCCGAGGCTGGGGGCTGGTCCGCTACAACCGCCCCCCCCCCCCGAAAAAAAACGTCTAATTGCTATTATTTTTTTTGATTTAAAAGCTTCGTGACTGCAGGGATTTCATCTTCTTGGTTCTTTCGGTAAGTCATCACGTAGAAGGGGAAGTAATAAATAATAAAAATAAAACACAATACAATAATTCTCACGACGTTACGGCCACAACGCAAGCAGCCGTTCCTCAGGTGAAGAACAGGTCTGTCGGAAGACAGCGTCTGAATGCTAATCCTGCATAATGCACGGGCATAAGTAGTACTAATCACATACCTGCATTTCCCATAAATATGCTAAATTCCTTTTGATATGCAAATTCTTTTGTCAAGGCGCCCAGCTTATATAGACGCTCCAAGCACGTGTGCTGTTCATTCAGACTCTGTCGCCTCGACGGACCTGGTTCTTCACCTGAGGACGGCTGCTTGCGTTGTGGCCGAAACGTCGTGAGAATTATTGTATTATGTTTTATTTTATTATTTTATTACTTCCTTCTACGTGACGACTTTACCGAAAGAGCCAAGAAGATGATTGCTATTATTTTAGTATCTACCGACCCTATAATAGTAAGTGGACACAATTCTAGATTTGAAGCTTTCGTGACTGCAAGGATTCATATTCTTAGGTTTTTTCGGTAAAGTCACCGTGTAGGTAAAACATCAAAATTAATAAAAATAAATAAAATAAAAATCACGACGTTTCGGAGGCAACACAAGCTTCCGTCTTCAGGAGGTACCGTCACAGCCACGACAGCCGCATCAAGTGAATGAGAGATTGCAAGAGCTACCACTCCGTTTATATAATGGTTGGAAAGGGGGGAAGGGCCAGGAACGGCACACTTGTTAAATCCTTTATATTAAGTTCGCTTGCTTGCTTACGACCGTGCAAATCTTTCGGTCGTTTTTTAACCCACTTCCCGTGATCCAATCGAGCTGACATTTTGCACACAGACTCGTTGTGCGTGACAATTAATGTTCGTGAAAATTTTTTTTCCAAAATTTTCTGTTTAGGGAAAACAAATTAAATATTTCATTACCAATTGCTTAATGCTGGCAGACAATCATCTGACCCATAGGTGGCAGCCATCTCAAGCCAGAGGACGAGAGGACTCTAGCCGCCACGCATATAAAGGATCTATAGTGAAAAACTTTGTTTTTACGGGTTATACTTATAATGTTTTACCTACGTGTGACTTTACCGAAAAGAATATAAGTGGACACATTTGAATCGCCCCTTGCGTACAGATACGTGGTGATCATGCCCAAGAAACGGCAGGCTCTGGTGGAGTTTGAAGACCTAGAGAGCTCCCGCAGCTGCGTCAACTACTCGTCCACGCGCCCCGTCTACGTGTGCGGCAGCCGGCCTATTGTAACTTCTCCACCAGCCAGAAGATTTTGTGGCCTCGCAGCGCCGAGGAACGCCAGAAGAGGAACCACATCCTGCTTTTCACCATCTTCAACCCCATGTACCCCATCACCACGGTGGGTGCAGTCACACTCACAGCAGCTGGACATTTCGATGTAAAGCTGCTTTCATGACTGCAGGGCAAGAGGTGTGGACTCGAGTCATGTGACTTGGACTCGAGTCAGACTCGAGTCATGAATTTGATGACTTCAGACTCGACTTGGACTTGCATAACAATGACTTTGTCCCACTCTGCTGCAGGGATTCATCTTCCTTGGTTCTGTCGGTAAAGTCGTCACGTAGAAGGGAAGTAATAAAACAATAAAAAAAAAGTATAACCCGTAAAAACAAAGTTTTTCACTCTAAATCCTTTATATGCGTGGCATCGGCTAGAGTCCTCTCGTCCTCTGGCTTGAGATGGCTGCAATCTATGGGTCAGATGATTGTCTGCCAGTATTAAGCAATTGTTTTCCCTAAACAGTGTAAAATTTTGGAAAAAAAATTCACGAACATTAATTGTCTCGCACAATGAGTCTGTGTGCAAAATGTCAGCTCGATTGGATCACGGGAAGTGGGTTAAAAAACGACCGAAAGATTTGCACGGTCGTAAGCAAGCAAGCAAGTGAACTTAAAATAAAGGATTTAATAAAAAAATTTATGTTTCGATTTAAAGCTTTCGTGACTGCAGGGATTCATCTTCTTGGTTCTTTCGGTAAAGTCGTCACGTAGAAGGGAAGTAATAAAATGATAAAAAATAAAACGTAATAAAATAATAGTCACGACGTTTCGGCCACAACGCAAGCAGCCGTCCTCAGGTGAGAAAACCAGGTCTGTTCAGACTCTGTCGCCCCGACAGACCTGTTCTTCACCTGAGGACGGCTGCTTGCGTTGTGGCCGAAACGTCGTGAGAATTATTTTATTACGTTTTATTTTTTATCATTTTATTACTTCCCTTCTACGTGACGACTTTACCGAAAGAACCAAGAATACAGCTGGACATTAAAGTGAATGTTATTTGTCGGTTGTGCCACGCACGTGTTTAATTTATACGAATGAAATTACATCCGATTTGGATTACATTAGTGGCTCTGCTAAGGAAATTACATTGAGCCTTTGGTTCATTTGAGGCAATTTGAAGTCCTCTTTTTTTTGTTTGTGCTTTGAAGTCTACCAATGGCATCGAATAAAAAAATGCTTAAATACAATTATATCTTAGACCTAATGTTGATTTTGGAAAAGCATCGATGTCCCGCATGGCTCGATCTTAAAAATTCACTGAAAAAAATCTTTTCAAGTTTAATTGGAAAAAAATGCAAACTCAACTCGCTGTGTTTGATGGTTATCCGGTCTGTCTAAACGTGTTCCCGCGTGTTCTTTTGCAGGATTTGCTTTACACCATTTGCCACCCATGCGGGCC